CATTGTATATCTTTTAAAATTGATTCATTCTTTTATGAAAATGCTGGAGCAAAAGATAGCTTTAGATCAACGCCGGGTTGTACATTCTTTCTCCATCTGTACTGGATCGAATATCATTACGCCCAACTTCGATCGAAAAGGAAGTTTTTCCGGAGATGGCTAAATGTGGAGAATTATATGCATTAGAGTTGTCGGGATTTTGGATGGATGTGGGGCAGCCAAAAGATTTCTTGACCGGTAAAAATTGCTTTAACCCTTTTACTTCGGCCTAGGATGTTGTTGTTGACATATGACGCCCATCATTTTATGCCACAGCATACCGAATGCGTTGACATTTACGCCTATCATTTTATGCCACAACATGCTATTTGTGCGGCATTATGTACATTTCTTTTTGAATTCACGCTTGTCTTCATCTATCTGCTAGCATTGTTACTCTTTACTTGCCTTTATTGCTTTCTTGATATTACTAGGTTTCAGCTAATTTTACTGTCCAAACTATTTGAGTTGATTCTAACTATTGTAGGTATGCGTTTTTACTTGAAACACCTTCGCGACAAGTCGCCATCGTTACTAGCTCAAGGTAGTCATATAAATGGTAATGTGATTGTGGATGAAACTGCAGTTATTGGCCGTGATTGCAGAATAGGTTTGTTTTAAATCACTTTGGTTACAACGAGGTATTGATGGCAGATTCCTTTGGCTGATTTACTTTCGATAAAAATCTGCCGTATTGATTATTAAACCATTCTGTCCGTTCCTTCGATCGGTCAGGTTATAGATGGATTTATGTCTCAGTGGATTTTTCAATCGCTTCATTTTACTGGATGCAGTTGATTTATCAAGTTAAATTCACGCATTATTTGTTTAGGGCCCAATGTCGTGATAGGACCACGAGTGAAGATTGAAAACGGTGTTTGTTTACGTCACTGTACCATTTTATCAGACAGCATCGTGCATACTCATTCTTGGATCAACAGCAGTATTGTTGGTAGAAAAGTAATCCTTTGGTGTTGTTTGAAAAAAGTGAAGTATGAGAATTAAGATAACTGTCTAACATGTAACTTCTGAGAGTTATGAACATCTTCATAGTTTTGTAGTGTTCAATCGGTGAATGGGTGCGAATTGAGAATACCTGCGTTATTGGCGACGACGTCGTCGTGAATGATGAACTGTACTTGAATGGTGCGAGAGTATTACCGCACAAAGCAATAACGACGAACGTTCCAGAGCCAGATATTATTATGTAACCGACTAAACTGGATGTGATATTTGGGCAGTTTAGGTGATGATTTGTTTTATGCCTTGTATATATTTCAGGTCTCCACTTTGGTCATTCCATGCACTTGATTCATAAATTATCATAATTTACTGAATTTTTGCAATACAGGAAGAATTTACGCTTGCTTGCAGCGTTTTGCATCTAGTCAAAGTTTGAAATTGAATCCCGTTTTACCTACTCTGTTCACAAGTTATCATTTTCCCTCTCTGTTGTCCCCACACTCCTCCGATTATATTACATTTAATAATCAATCCATCATCGGTGAGAAAACAAGTGCCAAACTTCTCGGACGTGGAAACATATAAATAATGAAAACATAGTTTGTCCTAACAGAAGGTTACGCAGAAATGAGGTGCGCAGTTTTTTTAGTGAGTGAGCTGATTACACGGGACTACGATATATCTTTGCCGGACACACAGAGCTGTCACTCACTTCGCCTCCTCTCTTTCTTGACGACAAGACGATCCTGAAATCGTTAGATATTTTTGAACATGGAAGAAAGTATTCAGATGATGTCTTGAAAAAGCTAACATTCACGATTCCAACAAAAATGATGAACCTTTTGGTGATAGCTGTTGAGCTGTTACTAAAAGGGTGTTGTTGAAGTGATGGGTTTGAACTTTCGCTTTCGCTGTCGGAAGATTCTGTTGACGAACTTGAATCACTGGATGACGCCTCCGCGAAATTTATGAGACCGTCCACACTCTTCAATACACCATCTGTAATGAAAAATGCAAGGGAAAAGTTGGCAAAGTCATTATTGCTTATAAAAAGTGCTACAGCATTTCACCACTGAAATTTATTTTTTCTGCTATTGGAATTGCGGCACTGATGGAATTGAGCTTCATCAGAACTGGGATCATTTCACATACCTATTACGTGTAATGTTCACTAACAAGAATAATAATTAATATCATAAAACAAAGAGAAAGAATACCAATAATAGGTAGGACATCTGGTCGAGCTTTCCGTAAACATTTTAACCAGTGTTGGCAAAACTTTGGTCTTCCAGCCAACGTTTTGAGGAGAACTAGAGGTAAATTCACTTTAGAACAGAAATTTTGAGTAACGGCGATCGTATCAGTCAAGTTCAGAACGACGTGCCACCATCCTGTAAGAAATTTTGCATCTAGGGTACAGAATTTCGTCTTTTACTTTATTTCCGTCTTTTATTCAAACTTCCATAAATTTATACGGTGTATTTCAAAAATCTATGGATACTAACCACCAGGAACAAATATGATTTCTCCCGGATATTGCACAGCTTCTATAGGTTTCCACTCTTTCAACCAATCTGAGGAACTAATCCGTCCATATACAGTAGCAAACCAAGTGATTGCTTCATCAGGATGAAAGCCACCCTCCTTCTTTGTTGGTTTTAAAATATTTTTTGGTGTTTGCGGGTGGAAAAAGCACCATCTAGAAAAAAAATATGCTTTTATTGAGCGCTACAGTGATACAGCCCACATCAATAAGACAATCGAACCTTCACAAAAGGTATCGCAGTATCCTGCCTGCAAAAAGTATTTTCAAAATCTATGTAATGAATCAACATTTGCTGCGATCATTGTATTTTTCTGGCTAATAACTCTTGCAATTTTTTTGGAATGATGAGATACTCATATTTTCAAGAAGGTAACCGTTGAGATCTATACATCAACGACTACATAAAACTGACTTTTTAGAACCTTTGATAAGAGCATTCCAAGCACTAGTCCCTAATGGATCGACGTGCATTCCCGTACCGGAACGGGAGGATCCTATAAGGAACCATCGATATGGCGGCCGCCGATCTTCACTCGCATAACGAAACAAATCATCCGCAAAAAACTGTGGCACAAGGTAGTCCTCCAGTAAACGTCTTACCTTGTAGCGCTGAAAGCAAAGCATCAAATCACTTTTGATATGAACAACTGCGTATGTCATGTCAAAAATGTAGTCATCAAAAAAAACTATATTCACATATAGTACCTATATGTAATCAAGAAGACTACTATTACATAAGAAATAGAATCCATAAAACTCAAGAATGAGGAATAATTTATTTATAAACCTCGCCAAATGAACTATCAAATATATAGAGCGGACTATCGTCAATCGTCTGTCTCATGTATTCTAAAAAATACTTCATTTTCAATTTCACGGAACGTCCGTCATCTTCCTCACCACATTTGAATTTTTGATTGCGATATTTCTTCAGCAGTATCTGAATAAATTAAAATGCAATAAATTAAAAATGGAAAAAAAATCTGAACTTACAGTCTGGATATGTGAGAAACATACAAACCTTAAAAGAATATTTCTTTCCTAAAACATTTATTTTCCATGTAGTGGGGCCAACAGTGCACCCACACAAGTTAAAAGTACCTATAATATCATTAGCTCACCAATATTTCAACAGTGAATTTAGCGATTCAGCTAGAAGAAAATTCAGTGCAAACGAAAGTCGATGTAATGAATGAAAAGAAAAAAAAAAACTGAGTGTGCAGCACAAAATAAGCGAAACGACTCAAAAATTTCAATGCGAGATGTGAGATTCTTACAGGAATCGACCATTTTCTGGTCGCAGACCAAGATGTAGTCAAACCAGTAAGAATAACAGGAACATGACGCGATTCATAATTTTCAGCGAATTCTTCAACAGTAATTTTGGAAGCATCCACCCTTTCAATATTATCTCTTGTCAACTTTTCACTTAATGTCTCAAATGTTTCGCAGTATTTCGCGCTGCTCCAATCGTCTTCGAATAATTCTAAATACTATCAAATAAAAGGGAAATGCGACAATTTTAAATAAAAAAAACACTCGTATAAAATGCATACGTTAATACAAACTATCGATAAAAACTTCCAATAATAAAACACTCAACGCACCAGATCTGGCTTTACGTTTCGCATGCCGAATGTATCGACGTAATCTATGTTGTGATACCGCCATTGAAATATTCGTAATACATAACACTACACAGGCCCTGGAAATCTTCGTGATTATCTGTTTTGCTTAATGAATGTTGCACTTATTAGGGATGATCAATGATATAATGGCACAAGGTTGGTGGAATGACATATAATGACATGAAGTATGAATATGAGATAGCAAAGACAACTTCATGTGCATGTTGCATGATGTAAAAGACAATACTTTGAAAAGAATTTATAAGAGGAACAGAACAGAAAACTAATAAATGAGAATGAACCGTTTGCAAACCCCCCCAGTTTGACACCAACTAGGAAAAAATGCAGTGCATGCTGCAAGGCAGCTGCATTCGCATAACTGTCCTGCTTATCAAGCAACTGCAGGAACCATCAAGCAGTAAACCCAGCAGCAAACTACACCGAATGTCACCTAGAAAATGTCATGTAGAAGAAATCACCGATGATTTTGTGCTCCCAAAAACTCCGCTTTTCCTGAATGGAATTCCTCACCGCTGTTTGTTTCTCGGTCAAGTTTGGTGTCTTATTCAGGCAGAAAGCGGGGTGCATTTCCTCTGGTGAGGGGAGGGCGATCTTCTGTTGGAGTTATATCATTTCACTGGGCGTTCAACGGCCACTTTGTTCTTCGACTTAGTATTTCCTGAACCTAGGCCAGTATGAGACATCACTCTTGCAAAGAAAGCAATCATTGAATATTGCAGTTAGATATGCACGGATGTATTACTAATTGTTAGGAAAATGTACTGGACGTTATACAGTGATAATTATCTCATTACCCATTATATTCATATGTATACTTTTGGCTATGCTATTCGCCTTTCACAGTGAAGGGAGCATAAATCAGGGATGAATTACAGGAATTCTATCTTTTTTGATACATAAGTAGTCAAGGATGCTATAATGCGTTAGGTTTGCTTTTTAGCACTATCTTTTTTTTTCCGATCTCTTAGGTCTTTTACGCTTGCTGATGGAATTGTTAGATAATGCACTTTTACAGTCGTACAAATGTCTGGCGGTATTGCCGCAGGTCGTTTAGCCGAGGAACGGAAAGCCTGGAGGAAAAATCATCCATTTGGATTTATCGCAAAACCTTCGTCGAATCCTGATGGCACGAGGAATCTCTTCAACTGGGAGTGTGCTATTCCTGGCAAGAAAGGAACCATATGGGAAGGCGGTCTATACAAGGCGAGTTGTGTTTTCACTTTTATTTGGGAAATTTGATTTAGGGCGAATTTTTATTCTATACTTATTATTCGATCTGACTTCATCTTTAGTATGAGTGAATTTTTTTTCAATTACACTTTGAATTAGATTAGGAAATATCCAATTCAATATCTATCTGAATTTCTCGCCAGAATACAGGATGTTGTTCAGTTAGTTTACATCACTTATCCTTACATTCAAATTCTTCCTGTTTGATTCTGTCACTATAACATCATTGCAGATTAGGATGCAGTTTAAGGATGATTACCCCTCTACACCACCAAAGTGCAAATTCGATCCTCCTTTATTTCATCCGAATGTGTATCCTTCAGGAACTGTTTGTTTGTCGCTATTAGACGAGAATAAGGTGTGCTTTTAAAGTTTCGCTCAGTATGTTTCGAGAATGTAAGTTAGCTCGGAGTCCTTTAAAACTGTTGTCGGGCATTTTTTCTTTATTAATTTCTCACCCATGATTTATAGGGGAACTTTGTTTTATGTATTTGTTATGTGATAGGTTCGGTCGCATATGTGGAATTGGTATCTGAACTACACATTTTATGTTAGGATAAAAGAGAGATGGCTTTTCGCACAGGAATGAGAGTCTTTTGTAAAACAAATTCCCAGTTGAAGACTTGAGGCAGTATTATGCTTCTAAACTTCGTCAAATGGATGACAGTAAAAGTTTTAGTAGTATATCGTGCCTATGCATACTGTTGTAGTCCTAAACTATTCTGCATTAATTTACTTTAAAAAGTCTATGTTGTAAATCTTTCAACTGAAAAGAGAGATTAGGTTAACTCTGGACGGTTTAATTTTGGTGGACTAATTTTCTTTGAAAAAATTAACGATCCAGCTTGTAATTCATATTCTATATTTATTATTGTAGCCTGACTCGATTTTGATAATGAAAGCTGAATGTCTGGATGAAGAAATTCATTTTTTAAATGAACACTGAAATGTTATGGTCGTTCCATGATATTTGTCAGCTCGGTCATTTGTTGTCATAATCATTATAGACTTAGTTGAACTGTAAATTTTCAATTCTTCCAGGACTGGAAACCATCTGTAAGTGTACGACAACTCCTGATTGGTATTCAGGACCTTCTAACGAACCCTAATGTTGAAGATCCCGCTCAAGCCGATGCATACCAAATTTATTGTCAAAATAGGTCGGCAAACTTTCGGTTCTTGGTTGTCGGTTGAACTAGTAACTTGCAATTTTCATTCATTAGCTTCAGGAAAATATGTTGATCATAACTTCGTGATTAATTTTATGTACGACAGAGAGAATGAGTGAAATAATGGGAGTTTTTTGAGATGGCTGTGCTTTCTGACTCATTTATTGAATTTATGGAAACTCAGGCATGGTAAATACTGTTTAGCGTGGTCCTTAGCTTGAATTAAACTGTCGATCCAATTTATAACATCGTTTGCTTTTAAGAATAGTACATTTCACCATCCTGAAACTTTCAAATTGAAATGACTTTTATGACTTTTAGAGTTGAGTACGAAAAAAGAGTTCGACGTCAGGCACAACAATTTGCTGCTGAAGTTGTCCAGAGGCAAATGTTAGATAACTAATGGAGGAAAGCATGATGTTCACATTAACAAAGTTCTGTTCATGCACAGGATCGATCTCGATATTGGCTAAAATAATTAGGCGTTATTTTGCTTCATGGTGGCGAAAAAAGAACTTTTTGGACTGGTTGTATCTAAAACTAAAAACTTAGAAAGCCAAAAAAGTATTTTGACGCAATTTTTAACTTCTGGACTAGAAATTATAGCCTAACACTATGAGAAGATTGGAGTAATGTTTATGATATAATATTCGCTGCTATTAGCTTTGTCACAGAGAAAGCAGAATTTTGAGTTGAGTTCTGCTTCGAAGACTGTCGGTTGAAATTATTCAGTTTGTCAGGTAAGAAAAGTAGCTTCTATGTGTTATTCAGGTAGCAAAGGATGATGTTCATGAATCAGATATTGTTACTATTAGGGATATTGATATTTAAACCAATTGTAGGATTCCATCATGAAAAATTTAAGAAGTAAGGATAGGTTTCCTTTATTCTTTGTTGAAAGTATGACCTAAATGCCGATTTCATCGTTAGTTTGGAAAAAATTTTCTTGGCCACTCTGGGATGAACAATCTAATATTTTATGGTATTAAAATTGGTTGTCACATTTCACAGTGTTTAATATGGGCAATTATTTTATTTGTAAATACCAAGCAACGTGCATGAGCATTGTGTATGAGCATATCTCTCTATAAACACTGTATATGCTCTACTCTGTAACAGTGCTGTTAAACAAGAAAACTATCATTAATTAGTGATAATTTGCAAAATTTTAAGGTTTCTTAGGCACTGTGCTCGCTCACTCGAAATTTTTTTTCATGCGTACACCATTGGTTTCTCTATTATTATCAATAAATTCCTTCGTTTTTATTTCATTCTGCACTCACTACAGTTAGCAGTTTAAAATCGTTAGTCGTATTCTACATACGGTTTTGGCTACAAAGAGATAAAGCAGTTGTATAAAGTTATGAAGTTCCATAGAGACTGTGGTCAGTTAAAATCATTTTGGAGACTTTCTCTACTTGTTCCTCGATTCAGACTGATAATGTCTTAGTCCCACCTCGCTACTGATTGCTGAGGTAAAGAATTATTGCGGAAGATCAAACTGGTGAAATACCTAATTTAAATAAACTCGAATGAAAGAAGAATGGAAAGGTGGCTTAAAGTTATTCATTAATAGGCGTGGGACCACATTTACTAATTGATCCTTTAGTATTTCAAAAAGATGCAAACGTTGCGGAGCATTACACACGTTATCCACTAGAGCACCAGTGAGACTACAAACGTAAGATACTGGTGATGATTTTGCGTCAGTTTATCTGCTACATGCATTTACCTGAGATTATTTGCTCGTGATGCCTCCTTAAGTACTCTTCCATTTAACTGAATTTTTCCACTTTTTACTAAGCCACTTCCCTTTATTTCCATGCTGTTCTCGATGATATTTAATCATTATTTTACTGGGTCGTGGTTTAAAAGACAAAAAAACAGAAAAAAAAACTGAAAAGTAATCAAACGGATAATTAATGAAACGTGCGTCCACAAGTGTGATAATCGAAGCTTCAAACTGACATTTAGAGATGAAGTTCCAGTGATGGACCAATTTGTGAATTATTTTTTAAAGCTTTAGTAAGAAATAATGTTCTGAATTGGTGTGCAGATATTACCAAAGTACACGACTGATCAATCATTTTCTTGATGTTCGGATACATTGCCCTTAAAAGAACCTGTAAAAGGGAATTCGCATAATTTTAGAGAAGAATAGAATGAAGGATATGTAAAATGTTGGGGGTTTTTCTATCATAATGTTTCCAGATTGTACACTGACATCTACTTGCCTATGCTGGCGAATTCCGTTGTTGTATGGTAGTAACATATAGTTGAAATATTTAGTTGTATTCTTAGAGGATGTCGCTGGCCGATTAGCTATGAAAAATATGGGACAATCGGTGATCTGTGAAAAGATGAGAATCGCCCTCATTAGAGTTATTATAAAGTTGTCATTTAAATACATTTCGTTCCTCTTACAGTGAGCTGTTTCCTCCTTCTTCGTGGCACATTTATTGTTGTGATTGCCTCCCTTTAGTAAATATACCTTCCGGCTGGGAATTCAAATTTGGATTTCTTTCTGAAATATTTAAAAGAATAATTTGATCAGATTTTTGGTCAGCTTTATCGTCCTTTTAAATTTCCTTATGATCATACCCGTTGTTCAATGTTCTAGAATTTAGTCTTTTACTGTTATATCATTCAGTCACTTTAAACTGTATCATTTAACTCAACAACTTTACATATTAAAAGAAAATTCAACAATTGCAACTTAAAATATCAGTTGCTTCCGTGACTGAATATCTATCTCTATGTGGATTTGAAAGTGGGTTATAAAATGATTATTTGAAATATGCATCTATCGTGATGGCAAATAGTTATAGGGATTTTCAATTCCCAACAAAATGTTGCTCCCGATGATGCTGTTTTTGGTGAAAATAACCACCGGTGGTCAGCAACAGTCTGTAATTGATTCATCATGCAGCGAATACACAATCCCGTTCTCATTTCAAAGTGATAAAACCGGAAATCCAAGTATCGTTATGCTTTTTCAACCATTTGAAAGGAATGATAAATAGTTTATCCATTTGTAACATGTACTATTGTAATTTTTCTAGCGTAAGTTAGCATTTAAATATGCAAATCTATGAAAGTTGATATCATATTGACGAAGGAATATTATAATATCCTTCGTTGTCCGTTATTAATAATTCTAAATACATCAGTTTTTTTCGTAGCCTATAAATTTAATGAAATGTTGAGACTTTTGAGAATGTTGTATTTATAAAATCTAATTTTGTAGGCCAATTACTTTTCTCCCAAATTATTAAAAGTATTCTGAGACTTTGCTTTCTCAGCAGGAATATTTGAAAGCAGTAAAAATATTTTTCTCAGTAACATTATATGAAATCATTTTCCAGCTCTATTATGTACTTCACCTGTTTGTTTCGGCCAAAAAAGATTATACGAATTGAAACGTGATGACATGATTGCAGAAACCGAAACTGAAACGAAGAGCCCGCTCAACACGGAAAATCCCATTTATAAAGCAGTAAATTATTTTTCATTATGGGATCAAATGTAGGTTTTTAGTAAAAAATGATCATTTCCAATTTGTAAGCATAATCTGACATCTTATAAGTTCATTCAAATATCTTTTCAGCAGTGTCATAAATACTATCAGAACATCAGTTGTGTCGGAGAAACACAGTGGACGGTTGCATTGCTTCTTGAAAATGACGGAAATATTGTTAAGTAGGAAATTTCGATCATTGCTTATTATCCATTCTAATATGTCTAATGATTCTGAATATTAAGATTCTTTTTTTTTTTTTTTTTTGTCAGGGCGAAATGGAAATGCTGCAATTACGAGGGTTTGCGACACGCCAGAGCAATAAAGACAGTGATTGTTAAAACTGATGAAAGCTATACAGGTGGAGAAGTATATCAAAATAACCGCAGAGTTGCTTTTGATCTGATCAAGGAAGTATATCTCTTATTCGATGAACAACAAAGGTTAAGTATTTGAATGCCATCTTCTTTGATTGTATTTATCACTAAATTATTTTTGTTAACTAGTAAATAACTGCTATTGAGCACATAATCTAAAAATTTCGCGCTATTAACTGGTGTTAAAGCAATCTGATTATAGCTTAAAGCAATCTGATTATAGCAAGTTGTGAATTAATTTAAGGAAAGCGTTTCCACGACTAATACATTCTCCTGATTGGTTGTAAATATCACTAGCCAATAATTTCAAATAGTTCAATGAAATAATTAATCCTCAAGATCCCATCTCCATTTCCATATTTATCTACTTTGTTCGAACCTAAAAATCAACTTTTTTGTATACACATTTAGACCTCGCTACGAGCTGAAAATAATGCGCTTAGCATGCATTCCGAAACCGGTTGATATCAAAAATAAATGTTCGTTTGCATTTTCTTCATTTGCATCTTTTCTGCTTTCAGCTAACTAAAATCCATTGTAATTCTGAACCACAACTGTATTTTGTCCCACTCAGTAACCTGTTCTGCACAGTATCACAGCTCTTATTCTTATTTTCTCCTCCATTAAGGATTTCTAAACCTCTGAAAATAATGAGCACATCCTCAAAAGCAAGTCTCCTTTATTTTTCACCATTATTTCTACTCTTTCCCTCTCGCATCTTTAAATCTAAATAGTGATAAATGGCGAAAAATTAACGAGACCTTTTCATCCTTTTCTAATTTCAGTATCAAGGTTTAACAGTTTGAAAAAATATGGTTACACAGATACTTATACTGAAAAAGATTAAGAAAATAGAGAAACGTTTGTAAGCTATGATTTCATTTGGTCCGTTTTTTGAAATTGAAATTTGAGAAATTTTTGATATCTGCAACATTTTGCTTTCAGTATCCTGTTTAGCATCCTTCTCAATTATTTCATATTTTAATTTGAAATAAAATATAATTATTTCGGTAATAGCAGTGTTTGTAGTATTAATTGATAAGAATAGTGAGTCAAACTTATCAGCAGTGGACGTTTCATCAGAATACGATACCGAAGAATATGTTTTTACAAATCAGCACCGCACAAAATATGCAAAACCAAGAAGGTACTTACTACAGTTCAATTTTTTTATTTTTTCCTTAAGCTACGTAAAAGTTTTTCTCTTTCATAATGCAGGCATATTCTGAGGAACAGAAATTTGAAGCGTGTCAGAATTTTCAAAAACTAGAATTGCATTTTATTCTTATTATGGTCTCTCTTGCTCCAACCCCTCTTGATTTTATTTCAATAACATTTCAACAGACGATCAACAATTCTGGACGATGAAAATTTCGATGATTTATTCTCACCCAGACATCGAATGGCCCATCGGAGGATGTTTTCGCTTCGTAGAAGACCTTTTTACAGACCTATTGCTGAAGATTACGACTACTACGACTACAATCCTGTGATTTTCAGGCACCCATCTGTGCATCGCAAGTACCAATCTTTTAGATGCCTTCAATCATAAGCTTTGTCATATTTATAAGCTGTTATATTTATACTCTAAAGCATGAAGATGCTAGACAGCTCTGAAAGTATGCCTAATTGTCTTCGAAGGAAAGTATATTTTAGGATAATTGCGGATGCATTATGGCCGATTAATTTGGGTATAATGGGACGCAGTGGTCCTGTTGTAGCTGGAGCAGCAGTATCTCCAACTTTTTATGAATTTACATCACCGGTAGTTTCAAATTTTCACAAAAATGACTTGAAGTATCTTATTTTGTTCTACCTGGATCTCTTTGTGCCCATATGTTTATTTAGAATGCAATCGAGAGTGACTATCACCAGTTTGTCGACAGTGATAGCACAACGACTCCTGCCACTTCTGCCCAAGCCGAAGTCTACGGTCAACTATCAGCTACTGTAGGTGATCCTGTGAATGATTATAATATGTTAACAATCAACCAATTCAAATTGAAGTATAGGTTCTCTTCATCATTGAACGTTTGTAAATCTAAAGTGTGTTAAAAGTACTGTTTGAAATCAAACTCATTTTTCTTCAAATAATTGACTGATAGGTAATTCTTGCGCCATTTTTTTTTCATTTTCTCAAAATTTGAAATACTTGCGTGATTCTTTTTACAGCCAGCAGTCGGGCAATTGTTACCAACATATTCTAGTTTACAATACCAGCCTCAAAGAGCTATAATACCATCAGAGCCAAAAACTATAGCTGCTGCACAGCACACTGTACCTACATATAGCGGCGGTAATGTACCGGTAAACTATTTAGTCAACATATTGATTGTTCAGAAAGAAAAATATTACAGTTTGTACTTGTCAGAATTCGTTAACAGATAATGCTGAAAAGGTGGGAAAAAGGAAGCATTCTTCTTTAAATAAATACCAAATCGAAAGTAAAATAGTGATACTGATGTTAAAAGTTATGAAGTTCATATAAATGCTTTCAGTACTATCATGACTATTTTGAAACGCTGCAGTGCTTTAGTGGAGATACAACGGTGCAGACGCCTGATCAGATAAAACGGATTGACGAATTACAAATTGGAGACCAAGTCTTATCCATCGAAGAATCGCTGGTAAGTCAATAAATTTCATTGAAACCGGATTTCAAAACAACTCCAGTCATTCAGAATATAAATGGATTTCATAATAGAAAACCTACAAATGAGAGTTATTTGATTTAGGTTTCTTACTCACCAGTGGTGTTGTTTTTGCATCGATCCGATAATGAATCAACAATTTTCAACAAAATTATTCTGGTTAGTTTTTCAATTATTAATACTATTTCCTTGTTTTCTTTTGCCTTTTTACGTTAACCAGCAGGAGTTGAGTGGATATCAAAGATTTAGGGTGAATTTTTGGACTTCAAAGAGAGTCATTAATGTTTCTGCTGTTTCAGGAAAACGGGAATATAATAAAATTAACTGATTATCATTTATTATATGTTACCGATTGTATAGAAGGAGAAAATCTACGTTTAGTATTTGCGAAGGATGTTCGATTAGGACACTGCCTACATGTTGTTCGGGAACAATCCAACGATTTGGTGCCCGTTCAAGTATCGAATATCCAGCGGGTCTGTTTTACTTCATCATTAATCTACTCATTGCAATGAGAATTCTTTATAAAAGAATAATAGAAACTAAGGGAATGGAACAAACATAAATTTGTCTATAAACCAAATCACTTTCCTTACCACTCGTACGTAATACAGTAAAATATGTGAATTTCAGTTAACTGGCAAAGGATTTTATGCACCTCTTACGGCAAACGGAGATATTATCGTAAATTCAATACTGTCATCCTGTCATAGCAATGTAGCGGTGCAAACCTTACAGCAGTCGATATTCAGTCTTTTACGAAAATTCCGATATTTGATCTCTACTGATCAAAGCACAGATGGCTTACTGCCAGGCATTCAATTTCTTACACAAATTTCAGACCTCGTTTTGCCATACAGCATTGCTTAGCGGTTCATCAGATGTTTCCCTCATGACATTTCTTATGCTAAATAAATAAAATTTTTTTGAATAACAATCTCATTCCTGAGTACTTTTATCAGAGCCATAATGCTATTACTCATCATGATAGAAATATAATAAAAATTAATCAATTATCTGGAGAAGTTAAGTCATTTAAAAATAATCAGTATCAGTTAAAATAATCAGTGGTCGGCAAAATGAAACTTCCTTGTCCAAGTGGTTTTGTGGTATAAGTAATATTCATCGGCCATCTGGTATCGTAAAGTGATGGCGCTTCTAACAGTATCAAGAAAGTGCCGACATTTAGAATAGAAAATATTATTAGGAATAATCGGTCAAGTACCATTGCTACGAAGATCCATTCGTCCGATATCTATAAGCAAAATATTCGACATTTTCTGTTGTTTCCGCAATTCCGACCTTTGCACATTTTGTGATCGTAAACTTAGAGAATGTAATTGAGGTTGCTATGCTCATTTGAATCGATATCAGATCTGAGAAGGAAGTCAAAGTTCTGATTCCGAATATTTTGTGCCAAGCAAATTTATTCTTTATATCCACATATCCCCAAATCCAAAAAAAAAATCTTCATAATAAGCAAACTGAAAGCATTAAAAATAGAAACCTGAGCTTCCTCCTCATCCATCCGGAAGTGGTTGGCAATAAATCGGATCTGTTGTAATAATGTCGCAACAATGTCTCTCTTATAATTTAAGCATTTTTCGAAATCGTTTAAACAATGATGTTGGTAAATGAAACTCTTGTCATCTTCAATCCCATGCAAAATAACATTTTAAACTCGGGTCTTTCATTGTAGCAATTAAGAAAATATAAAAATTAACTGTCCAATTCTTATCCCCTAAACAAAACTTCTGTCAAAAGTGGACTCTCCGCATTCATTTCCTATGATTTGAGCAAGGAAGAGAATAAGATTAATAAGATGGCAGACCATAAAATTGCCTGAATATATCATTTCCTCAAAGTACAACTGCTAGAATACTCATGCGTTCCATACAGAATTTTTTTAAACATAATATAAAGATGATTTGACAAATAAATTAATCGGTCTCAATATCTCAATATCGCATAATTCCATATAGCAGTGAATGTAATTTGTTATCGCAGCTGTTCACTTGTCATAAAAAAGTGACAGAATCTACAGATTACTTTTTTGAACTGTGAAACAGTACAGCTCATCCGGTGGGATCCTTTGTCTTACCAGCGATAAGGCATCAACTAATTCATTCTTCGTAGTTTCAGTTTTTCGCTTCGGCATATCTCGTTCCATAAACAGCATTCTCAAACATAAATGCATAAATATTTTAAAATGATGAATCACTTTATTAAAACTTACAGTTTGTCTTTGCAGCTCCATCTCGTATGGTTCTCTCAGTAACCTAACGACTGAACATAAGCTTTGGATGAAATTTACGATGCTATATGCAAATCATATTGTTTGACCCAATCATTAGTGGGAATGTTGATGGCTTAGACTGATCGGGATTGATAGAGTGCAGCAATTACTTTACTTGCTTGAAGTTTTCATACTTACCGGTCTTCATCTTCCAACATTACTAAATTGGTTAGATGCAGAATCGAATTTATGGAATTGTAAATCACTTAAATGAAAGGTAATATGGGCAACGTTTGTTTGACCATCATAGGGAATTACAGTATCACATATATTTATATCTTATTCAGGTAGTTTGTACAAAATGTTACTTTGGTTTGTACAAAATGTTACTTTGGTAAAAAATGAAGGAACAATCTGCGTATCCAGGGTGACATACGATAAGCAGATCCACTTCGGAAACGAAAATTCACCGTGATAACAGAAACGACTGTCGAGAGTGAAACGAGTATCATTGTTGTGATTAGATAACGCCCAAACATAGGTATTACTAATGAAGTTGGCGGTATTATGTCGATTAAAACCTTCAAATATTATGACCATGAGATATTATGTAGGAGTAATAGTTCACAAATCAGTCTGGTAGGAACGTTCGAGTCAGTAAGATTTCATCTTTTAGAGAGATGATTTGAAAATGATGATTGCCACTAATTTATTCAACTCTATTAATCAAAAAGAATAATAAAAGTGTTTCTGGACCGGGCAAATGAACATTTAAATGAAGATTTCGCAAAAACTTCAGGTTGATGTTTTACGCTTGAAGTCTTTGTCTTTTTAACAGTTTTTCGTTTTTTCAAAAAAATAAGCAATAACCATCATTCGTCAAATATTTCCTCCCAAAAAAATGTCATTTGTGGTGGAGAAATGATCATTAAAATATCGGATATAGTAGGAAAAGTGAAATTCAATTGTGTTTCGCTTTCTCCTTTCTCTCTTTTTAATTTAAACATGTTATCAGAACTATGCAAAACTACGTGTTTCAAAATCTTCTCTAAAAGTGAGTCAAAATTAAGCAGTGTAAGAAGTAGCCAAATTTAAGTAGTAATTGGATAATTAGAAACATTTTTGCATAAGTAAAAAAAAGTGGGAAATTAAAGTTAAATTGGGAAAAGTAAAAAATTGGAAATTAAAAAAATTAAAACGAAGTTATCAGACATATGATTTAGTACATAATCATGGCTTTTATGCTAATATGCATCCAGAGACGAAAACAAAATACTTGCTAAATTATTAAGTTTACTTCATGCAGGCATCATTTAGCAATTTGGTAGATTCTGATAGAAGTGAAACTGAATGTGCAATTTAGCTCATGAGAAATGAATTTTATCACTATCGGCTAAGAAATGACTTAGCGGATAGTGATAAAATTAGTCAAAATGTGATTAATTTTATTGCTTTCAAGCAATTATCATCTAAATGTTGAAGGTCGCACACCGTCTCGCTTTTCATATTTCACGAATATTTGCAGATATGATAAAGAGTAACTCACCAAAAAGAATACTGTTAGTGTAACCAAGATAGATATTGCAAATGTTATTTTGTGATCAGTTAAATAAAAACACTGGTAGTAAGGAGAGATATTAGGAAGCACGGCACGATCAGGTTGCAAGTGAAGAAAAGTGTTTTCCGATGTAATACAAAATAATAGGTGATATCAACATATTTTTCTGGACCACAACAACTTATATAAAGGACAGAATGTCGAGCTGATGATAATGATAAAAGGTCCCATTCTGCAGATCTAAACAATCTTGTTCACATTTTTTTGTAAATTGTAAAGAAATCTTCTATAGAAGGAAATCACTCACTTCTATTCATTTAGATTTTGCTTATATTTTTATCTTATTCCTACTGTAAAAAGAGTAATTCTAGTGATTGAAGAAGATTGCTAATTTATGAGTTTTATTAAACCTCTTTCAAAAGGTCTTTTTCATGGATGCCATAAAAAGAAATCTTCTGTAGATCTATAACTACTCATCAATAACTACTTCTCTCTTCAATGCCATAATGTTCAATGATTATGAAATGATTACTGGTAAAAAAAACTGAGATCCATGCCTATTTTCATTGTTTCAACATCTTGTCCATATTTGTCAATCCCACTCATTACTTGATCTACAAAAAGATAAAAGACTGTCCATCTACAACATGAATTGCAAGTGAAGTCAGTTTTAAAAACATAATTATTTTGTGAATGAAAACGTGAACCTTGTGGTAGCTGTTTTAAATCGACGTAATAACCCGTGTAAGACCAAGCGCCGAATTTCATTTCGCAATGTTGTGAGTCATATGGGAACCAAGTCACATCGATCTGAATGTTTCTAACGGAAAAATAAGAATTAACCGATTTCCCTTGATTTTATTAAGAAAACTTGCCGGACAAAAAGATTTGTAAATGGCTGGCGGCTGCCATAGAACTCGTCCATCATAAGCGACAAGGGCATCCGTAAAAATTGTTATATCCGGATCACCTGCTGCACTACAAGGAAATGAATTTGGTAACTCCATAAGCAAAATTTTCCACAACTTCGACGTCTTTCTCCATGACAACAATTCTGAATTCTACTCGTACTTGTTGTATAACACAAGATCAGGTGTCCAAATTTGATCGCTTGGGATATGTAACGTTGTGATACCACCGTATTTCGATGGATCCCAAGTTAATTTTGAATCGTTCCATTGCTGAAATCATAAATAAAAGTGGATTTTCGGAAATGAAACAAAAATCAGTTTTTGTTTTTTTTCCATGGAAAATGGAAATTTTGAGACGAATTGCATAGCAAAAGGGAATTACCATCTCAAGCCATAAGTTTGTCGTCAGAATTTGATTCTTTTCATCCTGAAAAAAAAGATTCATCGTGGAATAGAAAAACCGATACCACAATAGTAACAATAACTGCCTTCCAATTTACTTACCACGTCAATGATTCGAATTAATGATGCACCCAGATTTACTGTAAGAACATTAGTACTATTTTTAATTGGACGCGGGATTTTGTTATAGTCATACAAAAGATCCTGGTATAGCTGGCCTTCTAATTCCACGAAGCTTCTCCTAGCCATCAGAACTAGCTTATTGGTTAATAAGAAAATAAGGAATAAAAGCATAGCTCAATTTTGACCACAGACCTCTGAAAAAAGAAGAATGTAAGGAAAAATGTAGAAATACTGCAACATTATTTTGAACAACGGATCCTGAATATCTATCCAGGACAAAGTGAATTCGAATCCCACCGTTCTTCTAAAGTTGCGCACACGAATATTATTAGATTTGATGTACCTAAGGTATTTCCAGCTACTTAGACATATCGTTACTTCAATTCTCAGAACATCTTAGAGTTTGCGCCAGCACATTCCTGACTATCACATACATAAATTCCAAGATTACTGATTTTAATGTTAACAGGATAAACTATGAAGATACCATCTGATAGTTACCGATGAACTGTTTAATTACAACAGTCACATGCCAGAACGGAAAAAGCTGGAATAATTTTCCTATTAAGAGCTCCTTTGATCAGTGAATGGGTCTCCACATGATAGCTGAGGGATTTGTTGGGAGCCATTTAACAGCCTGAACAAACAACCAGTACGTATTAGGCATTTTTATCGACTATTATTGGAGTAGAGCTATGCTTTACTTTTTATATAATGCATGGTGAATGCTTCTCTTCCTTTGGATCTTCCTCTATTAATAACCATCTGCAGAGCCTAACCCTGGCCTAATCCAATCTTCATTGATTTCCCATCTTTTGTGTTCTTTTTGTCACAACAACAACACCATAACAAATCTTCCAACAGAAGCATTATGTGTTGAAATAAGATCAAAATATTTTTAGCTTTGAATCGGAATATCAATTTAAGGGTCAAAATGGTAGCATGTTATTTGTTTACTGAATGTGTACATGTTAGTTTCATTTGTTTCGAGAGTCGTATGCACTTGAATGTAGCCAAAATGCCACTGATAGCCTGATCATATGGATGTGTAATGTCATCTAACGTCATAAATCCATCAGAAGTATGATATATGTATATTTATCAGTAATGCATATATGTTTAAATATTTTAAACATGTCTTTTTATATATTTGTTCTAAACATAAAAGTTGAAAACAAATAATTATTGCTGGCACACATAGCCAACTATGTCATCTTGAAGGATCCTTTCATTGCAGTCAGCCGTGTACCAATTTCCACCATTCTTTTCGGTTGCCGCAAACACACACGAATACATTTTGCTCGGCTCATTCTTACCCCATAAATGATACTTCAACTTCGTGCCATCTGGCCATTTCCATCCGTTGCCATCTTTCAAAAGACCGATCCAAAATGGATGCTTGAAGTGAAAATTAGCTGAAAAAGTGTAACAGGTGGAACACACTAATGGTATTGCTTTTTTTCAACTGTAAAAAAAGAAAAAGATAGTCACCGCGTTGGTCACTTTTAAAATTATGAAAGAGCTGGAAATAGCTGTAATTTTTAAGGGATAACCACAGGATGAAATGTAAGAATGGGAAAGGGAACTTGCAATACAAAAATTTGACGACATCTTTATTGACCATCGTTACTAACACCGCTCCCATTTTTATGCACTTCTTTTCAGCTTCATAATATGTGTAACTGTCGTTGTCCATCTGAAAAAATAGTTTAAAAATGACTGAATTATATACCTTTTGTACATTTTTTATATTAAGTTATAAAAAAAGTAGTTTGATAAACATCAACAATTGCCTGAATGAAGTAGCACCGACCGCGGAAAAGTTTCCAATCATTGTCACATGAATCTGCAAAATATTGTAGAGCAGGTTTATAAATTAATTTGAGGAATATTATCAAAACAATATTGCCTTTTGTAGCATATAAAGTATTTTAAAAGCTCCTCTGAGTTTTATAGGTGGAAAATCATTTTGTGTAAGGTAGCGCCTAACATTGAGAATAGGCCGTTGTTTTTTTTTTTTTTGAACGTTTCATTGAATTTATTAGATGATTGGTAAAACAACTTTTTAAATGTTATCCTTAAATTTACATTGTGGTTCCGGCGCTAAATAACTTGGGGTGGCTGTTGTATTTTGTAAATCAGTTGTGGACGAATCATCTGAAGAATACGATGAATGCGAGCTTATCGTATCAACTATTCCAGAATCGTTCTTTGAGCTGCTTTCGATTTCAGGAGAAATTTCTCTGGATGAGTCAGTCGTTGCGTTTACATTAGTGATGTTGGATTTGTTCGAGAAAATCATAGGAGTCTCTTTTTCGGTTTCACTTATTGTGGTATTTTCAGTGCTATTTTCTGATACAGGAGATAAAAGAGCTTTCGTCGACAATGTATCCTCAGTAGTGATTTCTGTTATGGGAGATGAAGGAACTTTCGTCGATAATCTATCCTCAGTAGTGATTTCTGTTATGGGAGATGAAGG